AAAAAAAAAAAAAAAAAAAAAAAAAAGAGACAGTCAACCCCGCGACAAAGCTGGTAATAATAAATATGGACACTCTGTGAGCAGTCCCTCTAGTATCTATTTAAAATTTCGAATGAACGAGGAGGGAAGGGGAGGACTCAGGACTGCGACACTACCATCTAGTATCTAGTATCTACTCCACTGAGAGTGTGCTGCCTACTCGAGCAGGCAGCAGCGCCGAACTCAGCGAGCTGTTATCCAGGACTCCAGGAGCGCGCAAATGTCCCTCTGACACAAGAAAAACAAAGCACCGGCTAGCTTGAAAGGTTTAATCAACTTCAATGTCAACCAAAAAAAAAAAACAAAAAAAAAAAAAACGCATAATATCTGACAGATTGCGACTCAAGTCAGCCTATAAGTTCTCACCTTCTCACCCCTTATCCTATTCACTCACTACTCCCAGTCTACTGCCAGCAACTCTTGAGTCTTGACTTTTGACCGACCTGCGCCACACAAGTACAGTCTTCTACAGACTAACAACAAGTTTCGTGCGCATCAGAACCTGCTTTGGTCGAAGCTTTATTGCGCATTATTTGCCACAGCAATGACATCATGCGTCTAGCCTGCAGTGCGGAAGCTACAACGAAAGGAAATAATGAAAGAGCCCGAAACAACAGGGAAAGAAGAAAGGAGGGGGGGGGGGGGGGGGGGGGGGGGGGGGGGGGGGAGGGGGAAGAAGAATATGCCAAACATTCTATCCTACTGTCTTTAGTGTCCTAGTCTCAAGGTCCTAATTTAATTAAGCGGAAACAAAACCTTTTAACAATCAGAAGGTCCAACACCGGGAGCGGCGGGAGGTGGTCAGTCTTTCAGTCTCTCTGAAACCGTTGACATAGGCAGATTGGGCACGACCTCGAAGTCAGCCTTCAAATCAACTCAAGTACCTACATGGCAGCTACTCCCTCCCCCTACCCCCCCCCCCCCCCCCACCAATCATCCAATAAGAATAAGTAAGCCAATCACTCGATCACCACCGCCACCAGATCGTGGTCTATGGACTCTAAGCATCGTCTTCTACGGCCCCCCGCATTGGGGACCTGAGTGCCCACCTTCAAGATGAGAGCAGCCAGAGAAGCCAGAGAAGCCTGGTAGAAACGCCACGCCAACTTGGCTGCCATCCAGTGCCAGGTGGCTGGTACTCACTCGTTCAGCTCAGCCGCTACTTCCCATGATCACCACCGCCACCACCATCAGGCGCCAGCGGCGGCAGGGGTCCGCCAGCACATCATGCATCATGATCGAGGTCTAAGCAGTGACTTCAATGGCCCCCGCGTTGAGAGCAGCCAGAGAAGCTTGGTCTTGCGCCGCCGCCCTGGCTGCCAGGTACTTGTTCACCGCAGCTGCCGCCCCCCTTCCCTCCGCTATGGCCCATACCACCAGCGACTGGCCTCTTCTGCAGTCCCCAGCCGCGAAGACACCGTCCACGTTGGTATGGAATTGCCCAAACTCTGCAATGAAGTTGGTGGTTCTGGGATGGGTTGAGATCCCGAGATCCCTGGCTACATACTGCTCAGGACCGACGAAGCCCATGGCCAGCAGGACCAGATCGGCATCCAGGACCTGCTCGGTCCCCGGCAGTTCCTTCATCACCCACCTTCCCGAAGCGGGTTCCTTGCTCCATTGCACTCGGATGATCTCCAGGCCAGTCACTTCCCCCCTGTCATTACCAAAGAACCTCTTCGTCATCACCTCGTACGTTCTGGGGTCCTGCCCGAGCTTCTTTTCGGCCTCCACGTGTCCGTAGTCGATGCGGAAGATGCGCGGCCAAAGGGGCCAGGGGTTGTCGCCCGCGCGAGCTGCCGGCGGCTGCGGAAGCAGCTCCAGGTTGATCAGGCCCGCGCATCCGTGCCTCAGCGAGGTGGCTATGCAGTCCGTGCCCGTGTCTCCCCCTCCGATCACGATGACCTTCTTATCCTTCGCGGAGATGTAGTTGCCATCCTGCAGCTGGCTGTCGAGGAGGCTCTTGGTGTTGGCCGTAAGGAAGTCCATAGCGAAATGGATGCCCTTCAGATGGCGTCCGTCGGTTTTCATCAGATCCCTGGGGTTGGTGGCCCCACACGCCAGGACTAGGGCGTCGTTCTCCGCCCGCAGAGACGTGGGTGTCACCGTGCCCCCCCCTACGTTGCACTTGGTCACGAACTTCACTCCCTCCTGCCTCATCAGGTCGACCCTCTTGTCGACGACCTGCCGCTTGTCGCACTTCATGTTGGGCACGCCGTACATGATGAGCCCCCCGACACGGTCAGCGCGCTCGTACACGGTGACGTGGTGCCCTGCCTTGTTCAGCTGGTCGGCGGCCGCGAGGCCGGCGGGACCGCTGCCCACGACTGCCACCCTCATTCCTGTCCGCCGCGGGGGAGGCCTGGGGACCATCCACCCCTCCTCCCATGCCCTGTCGATGATGTGGCACTCGATCGTCTTGATAGCCACGGGGTTGTCGATGATGCCCAGGGTGCAGGCACCCTCGCAAAGGGCCGGGCACACTCGGCCCGTGAACTCGGGGAAGTTGTTGGTCTCCAGGAGGCGGTCCAGCGCTTCCCGCCCGCGGTTCTGATGCACCAGCTCGTTGAACTCCGGGATCTTGTTGCCCAGCGGGCACCCGCTGTAACCCTGATGACAGAAGGGAGTGCCGCAGTCCATACACCGCGCGGACTGCGCTTTGATCAGATCGGGCTGCGGCTCGTGCTTCATGACCTCATCCCAGTCGAGCAACCTCTCTTCCGGCGGGCGGTAGGGAGCCGCCTCTCGTTCGTACAGGATGAACCCGCGATGCTTGACGGCGTTGGCGTCTCGGCTTGGCCTGCTGCTCTCCTCCTCTTCCATCGTCGCTGGGACAGCTGCCATATCCCTGAGATTGTCGAGCGCGCCCTTCTTCTCCTGCTCCTGCTCCTGCTTGGCCTTCGTCTCCATAAGCACCCGCTTGTAATCCCTTGGGAAGACTTTGACGAAAGCGGGCAGCAGCTGGTCCATGTGCTGGAGCACATGGGCGGCGAGCTGGCTCCCTGTGTAGAGGAGGTGCTTCTCGATCATGCTCCTCAGCAGCGCTGCGTCCTCCTCCTCCGTCACTCTCTCTAGGTCGACCAAGCCCAGATTACACTTGGTGGGGAAGTCTCCTGCGGTGTCCAGAACGTAGGCGATGCCGCCGCTCATGCCGGCGGCGAAGTTCCTGCCCGTGACTCCCAGGATGACGACGACTCCGCCGGTCATGTACTCGCAGCCGTGGTCGCCGACGCCCTCCGCGACGGCTCTCGCGCCGGAGTTGCGCACGCAGAAGCGCTCGGCAGCCATGCCGCAGAAGTAGGCCTCCCCCGAGGTGGCCCCGTACAGAGCCACGTTGCCGATCACGATGTTGTCCTTGGGCGCGAACCCGCTGTCCTTGGGCGGGTAGACGACGATCTTCCCCCCCGAGAGACCCTTGCCCACGTAGTCGTTGCTGTCGCCCTCCAGCTCCAGCGTGATTCCCCGGCAGACGAACGCTCCAAAGCTCTGCCCCGCGTGTCCCGAGAACTTGATGCGGATGGTGTCCTCCGCGAGCCCCGCCAGGCGGTACCTCTTTGTGACCTCGTGACTGAGCGTCGTCCCCACCGCGCGGTTGACGTTGCGGATGGGGAGCTGGATCCGCACGGGCTCCGCCCGCTCCAGCGCTGGCCTGCTCAGCTCGATCAGCTGCACGTCCAGCACGCTCTCCAGTCCGTGGTCCTGCTTCTGCACGCAGTGCTGCGCCGCGCCAGGCCTCAGCTCCGCCGCCGGCTTTAGAATCGCCGACAGGTCGATGTTATGCAGCTTCGGATTGCTTCGGATGACCTCCGCGTCCGCCTGCAGCATGTCCGCCCTGCCGATCATCTCGTCCATCCTGCGGAAACCCATGGCCGCCATGTACTTCCGCGCCTCCTCCGCCACCATGAAGAAGTAGTTGATGACGTGCTCGGGCTCCCCCTTGAACTTGGCGCGCAGCACCGGATCCTGCGTGGCGATGCCCACGGGGCAGGTGTTTCGATGGCACTTCCGCATCATGACGCAGCCCATGGCCATGAGCGGAGCGGTGCTGAAGCCGAACTCCTCCGCGCCGAGCAGCGCAGCGATGCAAACGTCGCGCCCGGTCTTCAGCTGCCCGTCCGTCTGCAAGACCATGCGCCCGCGGAGATCGTTGGCCACCAGCGTCTGATGGGTCTCCGCGAGACCCAGCTCCCACGGCAAGCCGGCGTTCTTGATGCCCGTCCAGCGCGAGGCGCCGGTTCCGCCGTCGTGACCTGAGATCAGCACGTGGTCCGCGTGGCCCTTCACCACGCCGCTGGCGATCACCCCCACCCCCGCCACCGACACCAGCTTCACGCTCACGCGCGCCCCCGGGTTGGAGTTCTTCAGGTCGAAGATCAGCTGGGCAAGATCCTCGATCGAGTAGATGTCGTGATGAGGCGGGGGGCTGATGAGACCGACACCTGGCGTGGAGTGCCGCGTCACGGCGATGTCCCCCACCACCTTGTACCCCGGCAGCTCGCCTCCTTCCCCGGGCTTCGCCCCCTGCGCCATCTTGATCTGCAGCTCGTCCGCGTTCGTGAGGTAGTACGCCGTCACGCCGAACCTCCCGCTGGCCACCTGCTTGATCGAGCTGCGGTGAGGGTTGTGCGACCCATCCGCCTGCGGGACCAGGCGCGCCGGGTTCTCCCCCCCCTCCCCCGTGTTGGACTTCCCTCCCAGCCGGTTCATGGCGGCGGCCAGCGTGGTGTGCGCCTCCAGCGAGATGGACCCGTAGCTCATCGCCCCCGTGCAAAACCTCCGCACGATGCTCTGCGCGGGCTCCACCTCCTCCAGCGGGATGGGCCCTCCCGGCGAGGGGCACTCCTTGAACTGGAGCATGCCGCGAAGCGTGCACTTCTTGTTCAGGTTGTTCACTATCGTAGCGAAGTCAGCGTAGGCGAGGTTGCTGTTTGACCGAACGGCCTCGCGGAGCTTGGCGATGGCGGCGGGATCGTTGAGGTGCACCTCGGAGTCCGGGGTCGCGCGGAAGTGGTAGTCGCCGGGGTTGGGCAGAGCGCGGGACTCGGCGCTGCCCGCGGGCGGCGGCAGCGCGGTGCGGGGGAAGGCTTGCTCGTGCAGGCGGAGCGCGTCCGCCGCCAAGGTCTGGAACGTGCATCCCTGGACGCGGCTCGGGGTGCGGCGGAAGCACAGGTCTACGACCTCCGACGACAGACCCAGCGCCTCGAAGATCTGCGCCCCCTTGTAGGAGGCCAGCGTGGAGATACCCATCTTGGCCAGCACTTTGAGAATGCCGGCGTTCGATGCCTTGAAGTAGGCGGCCACCAGCTCCGTCTTCGTGCGCAGCGACCCGTCGCCCTTGGGCGGCACCTTGCGGTCCTCGTTCAGGCTCCAAATGGCCTCCATCGCCAGGTAGGGACAGATGGCGTCGGCGCCAAAGCCGACGAGGGTGCAGAAGTGATGGACTTCGCGAGGCTCCCCCGACTCGACGATGAGCCCAAGTCTGGTGCGGGAGAGAGTCTTGACCAGGTGGTGGTGCACGGCTCCGACTGCCAGCAGCGAGGAAACGGGCACCTTGTCGCGGGACGTGGGACGGTCAGAGAGGACCAGCATCTTGAACCCGTCGGCTATGGCGGCGGTGGCCTCCGCGCAGATCCTAGCGAGGGTCCGCTCGAGCCCGGCGGGCCCCTCCTGCCTGGGGAAGGTGATGTCCACGACCTTCGTCCTCCAGCCGCGGTAGTCCATCTTCTTCACCGCCTCCATCTCCTCCAGGGAGAGGAGCGGACCCTTCAGCGACAACCGGTGGCACTGCTCCTCTGTCGTCTCGGTCTGGTCGCCCTCGGGACCGATCATACACTCGGTCGAGGTGACCACCGCCTCGCGGATCGGATCGATGGGTGGGTTGGTGACCTGGGCGAACATCTGCTTGAAGTACTCGAACAGGAGCTTCGGGCGCCCCGACATGCACGCCAGGGGGGTGTCGTTGCCCATCGACCCGAGGGCTTCCATGCCGTCGCGTGCCATGGGCAGCAGCAGCATCTCCAACGCCTCCCCCGTGTAGCCGAAGGCTTTGAGCGGGGCCAGAATCTTCGTCAGCCCGCGGTTCTCCGTCGTTGAACCCCCGTCGTCCGTCAAGTCCGCGTCCGCCAGCACGCCGTTCACGGGGGGCGCTCTCAGCTGCTCCGGCGCGTCCGCGAACTGGCGCACGATGTCCTCCAGCGTCATCATTTGCCTCGACAGCCACTCCCCGTACGGGCGCGCGTTGGAGTACTTCCGCTTCATCTCCGCATCCTCTACCACGATGTGCTCGTCGAAGTCCACCAGAAGCATCATGCCCGGATTCAACCGCCCCTTCTTCTTGACGTCCTTGGGATCCACGTCCACCACCCCCACCTCGCTCCCCATGATCACCCGCCCGCTGTGGGTGATGTAGTACCGCCCGGGTCGGAGACCGTTGCGGTCCAGCGTGGCGCCGATGTACCGCCCGTCGGTGAAGGCGATCAGCGCGGGCCCGTCCCACGGCTCCATCAGCGCGGAGTGATACTGGTACAGCTGCTTCTTCTTCTCCTCCATGTGCGTGTCGTTCTGCCAGGCCTCCGGAATCATCATCATCACCGACTCCGGCGGGTTGCGCCCAGTCCTGATAAGGAACTCCAGAACGCCGTCGAAGGCGCCCGAGTCCGACGAGTCTTCGTCCACGATGGGCATCAGCTTCCGCAGCTCCTGGGGGGGAAGACCCAGCGCCTCGCACTTGAGCAGCCCCTGCCGAGCGCGCATCCAGTTGATGTTCCCGCGCAGGGTGTTGATCTCCCCGTTGTGCCCGAGCACGCGCATCGGCTGCGCGCGCTCCCAGCTGGGGAAGGTGTTGGTGGAGAACCGGGAGTGGACGAGCGCAGTGTAGGCGGCGAAGCGCTCGTCCGCCAGGTCCGCGTAGTACCTGGGGAGCTGCTCGGGCTTCAGCTGCCCCTTGTACACCACCGTCTTCGACGAAAGCGAGCAGATGTACAGGTCCCGCGGGCTTCCGCGCTCCAGCCCCAGCGCCTCGCGGAACTCCCCCTCCACATACCGCCTCAGAATGAACAGCTGCTTCTCGAAGTCAACGTCGGGTCGCAGCGCGGAGGGCGACACGAACACCTGCTCGATCACAGGCTCCGTCTCCAGGGCGCCTCTGCCCAGACCCGCGTTGTTGGTGCGCAAGGGGCGCCATGCTAGGATCTTGTGCCCCAGCGCTTCCGCGCGATCCGCGAACATCTGCTTCCCCAGCCGTCGTCTCTGCTCGTTCACGGGCAAGAAGAGCATGCCGACGGCATAGCCGCCCGCAGGCGGAAGCTCGACGCCCAGCTCCTCGCGCAACACCGCCTGGAAGAAGCCGTGAGGCAGAGCCACCAGGATGCCCGCGCCGTCGCCGGTGTTCTCCTCGCAGCCCACCGCACCGCGGTGAGACATGCGCATCAGCATGTCCAGCGCTTCCGCGACAAGCTTGCGGCTTGGCTCCGCCGACAGCTCCGCGATGAACCCCACGCCGCAGGCGTCCGACTCGAAAGCCGGGTCGTACAGTCCCATGGGCTTCCGAGGGAGCGCGGAATGGCCCGTCACCTCCCGCTTTCTCAAGATGGCCAGCTCCTCCTCCTCCTCCGATCGCTGGTTGCTGCCCGCCGCCTCTCCGACGTCGACGGCGGGGCAGCGCGGAACTGCAACCTCCGCTCCGCCGCCCTCCATCAGCCTCAGACTCTCCACCGCTGCCATGCTCACGGACCCCCCAACTCCGTTTCTCGAATCCGTCCGATCTCCAAGTTCAATCGTGTGTTTGTTATCTGTGTGTCTGTTCTGTGCCTGTGTGTGTATGTGTATGTGCACACAGAGAGAGAGAGAGAGAGAGAGAGAGAGAGAGAGAGAGAGAGAGAGAGAGAGAGAGAGAGAGAGAGAGAGAGATGGAGGTTGGAATCGAGCGCCCTGTTGGGTGTCTGTCGATCGGCAAGCTGCGGTTCGCTGTGTCTCCCGTAATCCCTCTCCTTCTCCTTCTCCTTCTCCTTCTCCTCTCCTCCCTATGGTTCCTACTGTTCTGTGCTTTATTCACACATTGACTGATTGATTTCCTTTCGCCGTCCTCGGCCGTCTCACGAATGGAACGACCGGCTCCTCTACAGTCTACACCCACGGTGACCCTCTTTTCGCCTCCTTCCTCACAGCTTCACCTAACACCAGCTCTTGGTTCTGTGACTTGTGTCCTTTGCACACTGGCAGCTTGCTGGCACCTTGAGCGCACTTCAATGATTCAAAATCATTCAATCATGTCTGACTCATTGATCAGTGTTCCGCAACCGACTCTGCTAAGTCTGCTTCGCTGGGTGGGGACCACACTCACTTCATCAGTCAGTGAGCATCTCAACGACTTTCCTACTTAAGACCTAACTATGTTAGAACAAGCGGAACTATCGTCATTGCCCGAATAGAACGCCCCCCGTCTTCGAGTATCACTGCATAATGGGCCTCGCTCCACTGCTCACCACATGTGCAAAATGAGAATGAATCTTCCCCTAGAACATGGAAAGATACATCGCTCCACTGCTCACCACATGTGCAAAATGAGAATGAATCTTCCCCTAGAACATGGAAAGATACACCGCCATATTTTTTTTGTCCGTTTCGCACTTCGAGAGTAGTGGAGCGAGGCCCAATGACTGAAAGGTGACCTCAAACAAAAAAAAAAAAAGAAAAAAAGGTGACCTCAATGCAACTACGATTTCCAGCGCTTTATTCGGGTGAAGAGAGCTGGTGTTTTTTTTTTTTTTTTTTTTTTTTTTTGAAAACAAAACTTCATTACAGGAAGACAGTTGTAGATTACGGCCTTGTGAGAGGACTCGGTCCAAGCACTCGCCGTCGATAACGAAAAGATCAACGGCCAATGCCTGATTGATCAGAGGGGGAAAAGGGGAAAAAAAAAAAAAAAAAAAAAAAAGTCCGGGCAATGGCGAGCTCTTCCTCTGGGGCAATGGTTGTGCTTTTTTTTTTTTTTTTTTCAAAAAAGGCTAATTCTTTTAAGCCCAACCAATTCAATTTACCTGTCAAATGGGGCGTGGTCCCACTAGCAAAGAGGATTGGATCGAATGCCTGAATCTGGACGTAATTGTCGAGAGGTGCAGGAAATCGAGATTGAACTGCTTTTCTGCACCTCTGCATAAAACACATCCAGATTCATGAGCTTGATCCTATCCTCTTTGCTAGTGGGACCTCGGCCCTGGATGTTCTTTCTTTTCTTTTCTTTTCTTTTCCAAATCTGAAAAGACCAAAATCAGTCTGCATTCTTCTCTCAGAGTCACCTTTTTTTTTTTTTTTTTTTTTTTTTTTCTCCCTTTCAAGGCAACAATACACAAGCATGAAACAGTCTAAAAAATTCAGGGCTCGAAAATAAGAAATAAAAAAGAATCAGGGGTCGCAAGGCCTCCGGCCTCTCTTGGGTGGTGGAGCCCCTCCCCTGTAGTCTGTAGAGATCTTAGTTCGAATTTTCATCTGTCTTTTTCTAAAAGTGTTTTCATATGATGGTGCATTGGAATTACGATTGCCGCTTTCGGCAATAAATACAAACTGTTTAACGTATAATTTAGGAATTTTTGCGTTCTTTAGGGTAGGGTGAGTATTGGGACTTCTGACTTAATTAGGAAATTTGTTGTGGTGTTCTTTACGAAATTTGTAGTGCTTTGGTTTTAGAAATTAATTGAAACCCTAATTAGGATTTTTGTTACAGTGTTTTAGGAAAGCGGGTATCGGGGATTTGGTAGTGTTTTCTTTAGGAAGACCGTGGTTTTTCTACAGGGCCGAGGTCCCATTAGCAAAGAGGATCGGATCGAATGCCTGAATGTGGACATGTTTTATGCAGAGATGCCTAAAAGCAGTTAAATCTCGATTTCCTGCACTTCTCTACAAACACGTCCAGATTCAGGTCATTCAATCCGATCCTCTTTGCTAGTGGGACCACCCCCCAGGGGAGGGGCTCCACCCCATGAAGCGGGTTTGGAGACCTTGCGACCCCTGAATCTGCGGTATCGGGGATTTGGTAGTGTTTTCTTTAGGAAGACAGAGGTTTTTCTACAGGGGAGGGGCTCCACCCCATGAAGCGGGTTTGGAGACCTTGCTTCTGCTGTTCTTTGACATTGTATTTCTGCCTTGGGCACTGGGCCCTGATAAAACTACTGTTTCTGTGTAAGAAATAAATAAATAAAATAAAAAATTGAAAGGAAGACACCCACCATATATACCTTCCAATCCAGTAGCAATTAAAAAACAAAAAATAGTAATAATAAAAAAAAAATCCAGCAGCAAGCCTATGCAAGGAACCACCAAAAGGCAAACTATTTGAACGCAAATCTTTTTTTTTTTTTTTTTTTTTTTTTTTTTTTTTTAATTTAAACCGCTCCATCTATTGGACCAGGTGGGGACCTTCACCTGCTGGAAAATCGGGTCCAGCGTCCCTTGAATACATAGATGAGGACAGAATTTGAGCTGGATGGAGGGGGGCGGCGCGAAATGTGCGCTAACGGAGCGGCGATAGCGGCAGTGGCGGCGCCCGGCCGTCGCGGCTGAGTAGGATGCAACATAGGGGCATGAGGACACTGATCTTTCACGAGGCACCTACCCTGCCAGGCACCATAGCTGTGTGAGAGCTATGGCGACAGTGCCCTGGCGTAGCCTAGCCCTTGAGTGGGTAGAGAGTGGCACGGAGTGCCTTGCACACAGCCACAACATCGGGGCAGGTGGACTTTGACTTTCTTCACGAGGCGCCTGCCCTGCCAGGCACCATAGCTGTGTGAGAGCTATGGCGACAGTGCCCTGGCGTAGCCTCGCCCTTGAGTGGGTAGGGAGTGGCACGGAGTGCCTTGCACTCTTATGCCATGGCATCCTGGCAGCTCCACATCTGACCTCCATACCAACCTTTATACCTAACAGGATCTCGACACCAGAGGAGCCGTCCTCCCCTCAAGCCTTCTGCTGGAAAGGGGGGCCTCCTTTTTCACCATCCAAAGGCCGTGCGCTGTACTTTCATGACAGGCCATCTCGACTGCCTTGAACACTAGGAAGCATGGAAGGCGGAGCGGCGCATCTAGACGCGGTGGGAGAGCGTACGGCTGCGCTGGCAGCGCTCCGGCAAGTCCAAGGGCTACAGCAAGTCTCGTTTGACCTATCTACGTCGCAAGGCAGTCTGATGTCCAGTTACTTCATGTTTTGTTTTCTTCACTTAATTTGGTACTTGTTTTTGTCTTCTACGTTCTGCTTAGTTTTCCGTCCCCGGTTCATGACGTCGTCAGTGGGCAGTGAGTTCTTATGTGAGTGAGATATCTGTTGGAAACATCTGCGCAATGCATTTCCCTCGTTGATGGCTGTGGTCACCGAGGCTAGGATTGGGATTTGTGCTTGATGTTGCAATTTTTCAGAAGCATAGGTCCATTCACAGATTCTCTATGTTCTTAAGCGCGAGTTAGATTTGTGGTTCTTGGTACTTGGATTTTCTTGCTCTGCTAGCAGTGAGGGTTCGGTTTTTGGTTGTGCCCAGCAACTACTCCTTTAGTTTGACATTTTGTAGGGTTCTGGAATTTTGGGCACTTCACGTTTTCTTTTCAGTATTGTCTACCAAGTAGATTCTTGGGACCGCTTCTGCTGTTGGCGAAGTTGATTTGCAGCTGGTCAACCACGGAGAGTGCCTAGCTGACATTGGGTCCTGGATTGCCGGCTTACATTTGCACTTCGATACTAACGGTAGAATCTGGGAAATCAACATGTTGAAGGGATGAGAGATCATGAGACCACTGCAGGGTATGTAAAGCCCTGAAGTCCTACGGGCCGCGGCGGCGCCATCAGCGGGAGTGGGAGACTTACTAGTGGCGGTGGGAACGTTTCCCGGACGCTAAGGGTATATTATTTTCCAGTTATAACCGGGTTTGGAGACACATAGGCGTTTTGTCTGTAAGAGTGGCTGATCTCCAAGAGCAGTAACAGGACACAGGGTCACCCTTGCCTTGAGTGGTGAGGGCACTGAGGGGAGTGTTGTCCGCTCAACTTTGTGCTATCCTGGAAAATCCGGCTCATTAATCCCCCCATTCGTATATTCTGTGGGCGCGGTTATTCCAGACTCTCTGTGTGTGGCCGTTTTCTTGGCTGTTTCAATCATCTATCTTCTGTCGACAAATATTCATACGCCCCGTTCCATTTTTGTTAAGATCAATTTAGTACGTGCTCAGACTGAATTTTAGATTTGATCTGTATCTAAGGGTTTAGTATGCCTTGGAAATAATTTTTGGATTGAATTGTAAAGTTTTAAATTTCAGGAGTTCCCTTGTGCATTTTCGAGATTTGCAGTCAATAGCTCGTAGCTCCCTGCCAAAAAAAAAAAAAAAAAAAAAAAAAAAAAAAAAAAAAAAAAACCCCAAAGGG